TTTTTTTTCCTGAGCAATTCCCTCAGACATAAAGGTAGCCCCAGGACTCATAACATCCGGCTGGAGGGGCCTGGCTCCTGTTATCAGGCAGGAAACAGTGCTGGACACACATCCTCTCCATCCCAACAGCAAAAGCCTCCTCCAGAGGCAAGGCTTGGCAGGAAAACACAAGGCCCAGCAGCATGTCTTATTCCTTCTCCTCAGCACACCCAGCGAGGAGCCTCCCTCTTGTATGGCTCTGCAGGGAAAGGATGCTTCCCAAAGCCAGGCAGCATCCCAAGAGGTGCAACAACAGCCATACGGTCTCCCTCGGAGGGTGCCTTCAAGTCCTTTCCAACCTACGGCCACCCTAAGGTGAACCTATCGTGGGGTTTACTTGGCAAGATTTGTTCAATAAGGAGTGCCTTTGCCTTCCTCTGAGGCTGAGAGAGTGTGACTTGCTTGAGGTCCCCCAGGGGGTTTGTTTCCAGGCCCAAGCTAGGATTCGAAATCTGGTCTCCAGAGGGCTCAAAACACTACACCACGCTGGGTCTCGTGCAGGAGGGTTTCAGAGGGGCTTGCCCTTGCGTTCCTCAGAGGCTGAGAGAGTGTGACTTGCCCCAGGTCACCCAGTGGGTTTTCATGGCCAAACATGGATTCATAGCCTGGTCTCCAGAGTAGTAGTCCAATGCTCAAATCACTACACCATGCTGGCTCTCTTGCAGGAGGGTTTCAGAGGGGGCTTGTTCTTGCTTTCCTCTGAGGCTGAGAGAATGTGACTTGCCCAAAGTCACCCAATGGGTTTCCATGGCCGAGCAGGTATTTGAACTCTACTCTCCAGAGTCATAGTCAAATATTCAAAGATTGGGGTGGGGTGGAGTGGGGGTGGCTTGCTTTTGCTTTCCTCTGAGGCTGTGAGAGTATGACTTGCTCAAGGTCATCCAGTTGGTTTCTATGGCCAAACATGGATTCAAGCCCTGGCCTCCAGAATCATAGTCGAACACTAAAACTGCTGTACCATGCTGGCTCTCTTGCAAGAGGGTTCCCATAGCTTCCAACACATCACAGATGGAAACTAGAACATGCTTGACGCAGGAGATGCAGTTCGTGTCCTTGCAGGGGGGTCCACGAAGGCTTGAAGGTTGCTCAGACCACATGATGATGATGATGATTTGAAATCTTGAGTTAAGTCAGGGGAGTATCCACAGCAACAAAAGATACTATTTAAAAGAGGTCCCTGGTAAAGAAAAGGTTAAGAACCGTAGGGCAGGGGTTCCCAAATGTTGATCCTCCAGAGGTTTTGGACTCCAGCTCCCAGAATTCCTGACTAAGGGCCAAACTGGACAGTTTTCCTAACCACAAAGGTTTTTGCAAGACCTTTGCACCCCAACAAGCTTTGCAAGGCCTTAGGTTTTCAATGAGCTTTGCAAGACCATAGCTCCTTTGCAGGGCAGCCAAGGTGAGTGAGTCACCTTGGAGCTAAGGTCATCTTCTGAGCAAGCCTTGGACGCATTCCTGATCTGGAGGCTGCGCTGCAGGGAGCCACAACCTCATCCAGGACATTTCCTTTGTCTTGGCTGACCATTTTCTTTTTTTTATCTCTGACTCTCAGGATGGCAAATATGGGGAGAAACCAGAGAAAAAACAAACTCTACCACCTGTTTCTTCAGCTTCAAGGAAATGATCTCCTCCTCAGGACACGCTCACTCACGACTGGGCCGAGTTCCAGTGGTGTCCAGGAAGGGTGACGTAACTACTAACACAGCAGTTTGCACGACAAACATGCAAAGTGACGCCTGGCCGATGGATCAATAAAGGCAGAGCCATGCCTTAGTGAAGGAATTTTAGTGCATCCGTTTTGTATGGCTTTAATTGTACTGTTTTTAAAATATTGTAAGCCGCTCCGAGTCCCAGAGGACTCCCATGCGGTAGATTTAACAGGATCTTCATGTGCACAGGCCACCCCGAGAGTTCTGGACACAGCTGGACTGCAACTCCCATCAACCATCACCATTAATTATGGTGTGTCTAAGAGTGGTGTGAGATGTAGTCCAATGCCCATACCTGCCTTGGACAACAGCTCCCGTTCCAGAATCTAGTTGTCAAAACTGACACTCTTTTCATTGCGCAGATCCCAAGCTTTATACTTGCAGAGATTATTCATTTTTATTATTACACCACCTATGGATCATTGGATATATAAGAATGTTAAATAGATAGTACTGATTCTCAAGAGCATAAACAGATATAAGATATGGGGAAAGGGAGGGATGCAAATAATGATGGTGATGATGATGATGATGATGATGATGATGATGATAACAGAAAAATTGGTACCAGAGGCAGAAATAACATGGAAAGGGTTATACCAGAAAAAGAAGAGCAGTTCAGTATGCTTCAGCTAACCTTTTATCCCAAATTAACACTATCACTGGTGAAACAAAAAAAAAAAGCAGCTCAGATAGGCCTTTGTTGTTGTTGTTGTTGATGTTGTTGTTGTTGTTGTTGTGTGCCTTCAAGTCATTTCCAACTTATGGTGACCCTAAAGCAAAGGATTTCTTTGGTAAGATTGGTTCAGAGGAGCTTTGCTATTGCTATCCTCTGAGGCTGAGATAGTGTGACTTGCCCAAGGTCACCCAGTGGGTTTCATGGCTGAGTTGGGGGGATTCAAACCCTGGTCCAGAGTTGCAGTCCAACACTCAAATCACTACGCCACACACAACAACAACATTTCAAACTTTTTAGAGACCCCTTGAAGGGTTCTTTCAAAATGCATCTAAGAAAAGTTTCTTTCTTTCTTTCTTTCTTTCTTTCTTTCTTTCTTTCTTT